GTTGGTCAGTTTGGTCTCAAACTCCTGACCTCAGGTGATCCACCTGCCTTGGCCTCCCAAAGTGCTGGGATTACAGGCATGAGCCACTGCACCTGGCGCCAGGTGCCTGATTTTCTCAGAAGAGTTTTATAACAAGGCAGGGTGCAGTGGCTTGCACCTGTAATCCTAGCACTTTGGGAAGCCAACATAGGCAGATCAGCTGAGCCCAGGAGTTTGAGACCAGCCTGGGTAACATAGTGAATCCCTGTTTCTACAAAAAATACAAAAATTAGCCAGGTGTGATGGTGTGTACCTGTAGTCCCAGCCACTCAGGAGGCTGAGATGAAAGAACTGATGGAGCCAGGAGGTGGAGGTTATAGTGAGCTGAGATCATGCCACTGCACACCAGCCTGGGTGACAGAACAACGAAATGCTCTGTCTCAAAAATAAACAAAAACAAAACAAAACAAAAACAAAAACAAAGAGGAGTTTTAGAACAAAATTTTGGAGGAAAAACATATCCTCTCTATTCAGGGGAGGAGAAGATCAGACAGCGAGAGCATGGTAATTTACGAAGTGCTCCCATATCTCCTCAAAACCAACCTGCAAAGCCATTGTTTTGATTAACCCCAATTTATAGATGAGGGAACCGAGGTTCAGAAAGGATAAGTGGCCACTCAGAGGGATGTTGCCAGTCTACGTGATTTCCAATCCCACACTCTCTCCACTACTTAGCATAGTTTGGACAATTTCAAAACAGTGTGCGCCACTTCAACCCCATGATCACTCAGGAAAACCACCAGAAACAAGCTCAAGTGAAGGCAAAGGCCTGGACTGGGCTTGCCCACAATTAACTTGCCAACCTTGATGGCCTAGGGCTAAAATATTTGAACAACTGAAGGACTGTCCCTTTTAGGCCTTCCTTTGCCTCAGGCAAGGGATCTTCCCTAAGGAAGGCTCGTGAAATTAACCTTTCTCTTTCTATTCTCCACCTCCCCCACAACTATAGGTTATTATAGCTTCTTCAGAACAATCTTAGTCTCAAAAATCTCATCAGAGGTAGCTAAGAGACCAGACAGGACGATAGTAATAATGAGGATAATAGTAACTAAATTAACAATAGTAGCCCAAGGGTGTAGATTATTTGCTATAAGCCAGATGTTGCCCTGAGCAATGTTTACATACATTTGATTCTCATGATAGTTTTATGGGAAAGGTACCATTTTACTGATGAGGAAACTGAGGCTCATAGGGCGTCAGACACAGGCTTGAAGGGCTAAGTGGGGAAGGTGGGTTAGCAATCCACAGATGATTGAGTGTGAGCTTTTGGGCCCTGAAACCCTCATTTACAAATCGACTTTAGCATCACCCCCCCACATGATTTCTTACCTAGGGTTGTTTTTTAAAATTCACCCCCATAAATGACTGTGTTCCTTGCATATCTGATATTCCCAGGAAATGTGGTTTTTCTGGGAAAGACAACGGTAGAGACACAGTAGCTTTTTTTTTTTGAGTCTCACTCTGTCACCCAGGCTGGAGTGCAGTGGTGCGATCTCTGCAACCTTTGCCTCCCAGATTCAAGCAATTCTCCTGCCTTAGCCTCCTGGGTGGCTGGGATTACAGGTGCCTGCCACTTTGCCCAGCTAATTTTCATATTTGTAGTACAGACAGGGTTTCACCATGTTGGCCAGGCAGGTCTGGAACTCCTGGCCTCAAGTGATCCTCCCTCCTCGGCCTCCCAAAGTGCTGGGATTACAGGTGTAAGCCACCATGCCCAGCCTCAGGCGTGAGCCTTTAATGATACTAATGGTCTATAAACTACTTTATCCTCTTTTTTTTTTTTAATCTCCTGCCCTTTTCTTTCCATTAAAAACAATTGGTGTTTGATTTTCATGATTTCTTCAAATTTCTTAACCTAGAAAAATGTAAATACACACCCAGGGAGGGAGACAGAGAGAGAGAAAGCACAAACCAGAACTGGTGGGAGATTGTGGTGAGGAATCATAGTGTTTTAAGTGGCATCCTTGAACATTCTACCAAAGCCGAATGGGCAGATGACAAGAGTGTTGGGAGTTTCTGAAGTGAAGTACAACTCCGTAACTGGAAGTTTTCAAGCTTGGAAGGCATTATTGTGTTAGTCCGTTAAGGGGCGCATTATTCAAAGACTTGGCTGGGAATGAGTGCTAGGTGATCTGTAAATAATCTACGAGTAAACGTCTACCAGGAGTCGAACATTAACATCGTAGGGGCCGGGCTTTCAAAGGGGTCACTGGCCTACAAAGGGAAGCGTTGCCTCCACCCTTTAACTGTTTCTACAACTCCAACGATTGCACTAAAAGGACAGAATGGAGCAGGTAGAGGGTAAATTCAAATATAAACACTCTCTGTGGATGTGGCCAGTGAGGCAGTTAGAATCAGTGAGTGTCTCCGCAGCAACAATACAACTGTTAGGTCAAGTGTATGAAGGGTGAGGCCCCTCTGGGGCAGCTGCGAAAGAAAGCCCCTATTAATCCCTTAACTAAGCAGCTGATGGATTTAATCTTTTTGTGCATACATTATAACTCTTCGAATACAAGATTATTGTAAGTTTTTTTTTTTTATCAGCATAAGCTATCAAAGCTTTTTATAGATTTCTTCATCTCACTAATTAACAGATGACAGAAAACAGAACTTTGGAGAGCTTCTGGTTACAATTCGCTGGCATTCTGGCTTGAAAAACTGTAAGAAAGCGTCATTCCCTGATTCATTCACAAAAAGAATAGGTCTTTATTTGAAGAGCGAAGAGATCTCAGTCTCCTGCCTCAGAGTTCTACTTTCCTTTGATTTTGTATCCATTGTTATTTAAAATAACAACATAAAATGATTCTTTAGGGTTAATTTGCATAGTAATATCAGAAAAGAAAATCATTACCTGGTATAATCTCCCTTGGCTTCCTAAAAACAAACAAACAAAAACAAATGGAGTTGATCAATATGTATTTTTGTTAAGCTAAATGAGTTTTATCTTGATTACTTCGCCTCTTAAAGTTCCTAAGTTTTGTTCTGAAGAGTGTTTCTCAGGACCGCTCTCCCTACAGCCATAAGAATTAGGCATTGATAAGAAAACGCTGACTGTCCTGTTAGGCATATTCCTTATTCTTAACAAAAGAAACATCTATATGTGAAAAAGCACAAATAATTATTTCTCACGGTACGTTTTTAAGATCACATGATAAATGCTTTTCATTCAAGTGGCACACTTTTTAGACTGGAGGAAGACCTTTTAAACCACAATACAGGTAAACAAACATATACTATTTGTTTTCCCTTTACTTTTTAAACCAGCATGGAAACAGACTAACGCCTTTAAGAACTAAAAGGCTCTTTTACTGGACCACAAGAAAATGTATACAAAAGTTACTAAATGTATATGAAAATTACAGCTGTTGTAACAACTGCTGCCTCCCAAATTCAAGTATCCCAGAGCTCTCTTCCAGGAATATGAGTTTAACTCTTTTCCTTCAGAGCAGGCTCAATCTCATTTTTCTTTGAGACTCACAAGATCACACTGTAGCTCATGCAAACTATTCGAAAGCAGAAGACGGTGGCTCACAGTTTTCATCAGCAAACAACTAACTGGCTTAAAAATCCAGCAGACACTGGCCCATGCAAAAGTTTCAGAGTTGCAGGCAGTTAACAAAAACAAACAAACACAAGGGAGCTGCTAAGAGGCAGTTTGTCCAATCTTACCTGTAAAACAAACGCGGCTAACTTGAAGATGGTTTCGCTGTCTACTTCAATTTGCCCCTGTTGGTGGAAAAGGAAAGCATCATTGAACATGGGGCTATCCTAGGTTGTAGCAAATGACTCTGAAGTTGAGGAAGCTGTCACAGCTTGGCACCTCCAGTTTTCGATCAAATGCAGATCATACCATTGCAGGGGAAAGTGGGGGGTGTGGAGAGACTCATTGAGGGTTAAGGGGAAACCACTCTCTCTCTCTCTCTCTCCCTCTCTCTGTGTGTGTGTGTGTGTGTGTGTGTGTCTATTTTAAATAGCTCTGGTAAGGGTTTATGTTTAGAGAGCAGTATTCAGGAAGAAATGGGAATGACTTTGAGGCTAAACATTCAGAAAACTTCTAAATGAAAAATTTTTATCTCTGCAAGTTCATTTTTAGGCACCCTGCAGATTTTCCTAGATTCATTTGTTGAGTGTTTTCCTGGGATAATTATTTTTCCCTTGTGTTATAGTACAGTTATTTCAGTATACACATAATGCAAATATTATTAAAAATATAAATTCACTTCTGTGTCAATGACACATTGTTGAGTTCACATTTGTACTATTATAGATAAAATGTGAGGCCTTAAAAATCAGTTACAGCAAATGCTTTGAAGACTAAAATTCTGTTGATTTATATTGAAGTTTGAGGAACTCTATCAGTTTTCCATTTTTTTTTTTTTCATCATTCAAAACCCCAAAGAAAAATTGGAGCTCTGGGCCTTGGTAAAGAATGCTTTTTCAGGGTTTAGTACAGTGGCTCATGCCTGTAATCCCAGTACTTTGGGAGACTGAGGGAGAAGGATCACTTGAAGCCAGGAGTTTGAGACCAGCTTGGGCAACATAGAGAGACCTCATCTCTACCAAAAAAAAAACAAAAACCCTTTTTCTGTAGCCCAGTAGGGATGCATAGTTATGTGCAGAAAGGGTATAGCTCTATCAATAACACTCGTATGCACCTTTATATTTTTTAAATTGTGATGATACATGAAATATTATTACTGAACCATATTATAACAATGAATGGTATAGAGGGATCTTTATTTTAAAAAAAGGTTTCAGTGGTAATGTTAACCTGTAAGTTTTAACATATGCAAAAACAATTCCATGTAACCCCATTATTGCCTAAGTCCTGTATAATTAGTACTTGAAAGGGCATAGTGTTTAAGAACATGGAATTCCTGGAAATTGCCCTGCATTCTTTCTTCCTCCCTTCCACCTCTTGAATCTGAGCTGGAGTGTTTCCTAGTTATACCAAGTGCATCAATGGGGAGATTAAGTCATTTTAAAGTAAATATACAATAGACAGATTCACAGAGGTAGTCATGCTCAGTGAGGATTTCTGAAAGGATTGTGCTTTTCTCTCAGGTTTCCACGTGATTTGATGAGGGTTCTCAAAAAACAAACAATATTTTTAAACCCATAAAATAAAATGAGCAAATAAAAACCCCAGGGTGTTACAATGCCAGCAGTGATCATTATTCACGTTTCCCTTATATTACAAGATGAAAACAAATTAATTTCATCCTCTAACACACAGGCCGCCCTTCTGAAACCTGAGACAGAGGATCTGCTTCAAAGTTTTTTGCCTCAAAAGCTGACAGGCCCAGAGCCTTGGAATTCAAAGCTCGCCCATAATCTCTAGAAACAGATTACAAAATCAAAGGGAAGCCAAGTTGATTGTAGAAATCAACTGCTCTCCGCCTTTCAGGCAGGAGACGGTGCTTTTCCAATCTGGTGAAAGATGATGAGGCGGTTCATCCAACAGGTGAGGTGGGTGTTGATCAAGATTAAATTTTAGAAAGGCTACATTCCTTAGTTCAAAGAAAAAGAAACTCACGGCAAGGGAAGAGGGCTAACAGGAGAACTCAAAAACATCATTGGGTTTGAAATTAGGCAGGAACGCAAAGGTAAAGTCAAATGTGTCTTAAAATCTTAGAGAAGAAAAAATTAAGATGTTAAAAACACTAAAGATGAATAAAGTAAATTGAAAATTACTGCCAACTCCTCTGACATCCCACGATCCCCCTTTGCCTCATCAGAACCTTACACAAGTCACCTGAAAAATATTTCCGACACCAACTTCTCAATTTAGTAAATGGAAGTTCAGCAGACAGAAAAACCTACAGCAGATATTCTTAGGGAAGCAGCCAAATAATTTTCTACTTTAGAAGGGTTATTAAGTATAAAAAATGCTGAAATGAGGAACTGAGCAAGACGAGTACCAGGCTCAGACAGCTCCGGAAGAGTGGGGAGCAAATATCCAACTCACCTGTGGACTTTTCCACCTACACAAGTGGCCCCAGTGCAGTTCTGGTGGAGGAGGGTGACGGTGCAGTGAAGGAGTGGGCTCTAGCAAAATCTTGTTCCAGGAAGAGAAGAGAATGCATGCTTTGGCAAAAGCCCATATTCTTTTAAAACCCTCAGCCCCTACCTCACCTTCCATTGAACAATCACTGTTCTAGAAACCCCAGGCAACAAATTTTGAGTCGTAATACTGACTGTCAACGTTCTTTGACTCATTCACGGAGTTTACTAAACAGTACATCAATCAGGTGTAACATTATTTGCCTAGTTCTCTGCAATTTCATTTGGTGAAATTTAATTAAGACTTATAAAGAACTCCAGGATTTCAAGCCTGAAGTGTAAAAGCTGTTTTGGAAGTGCTGTCTGCCCAGGACGGAACATTTCTTTTACTCTCAACCATGGCAACAGAGATAACCTTATAGGTACTGGGCAAGCCAACACTTGAGAGAAGGATCTCCTCAAAGAGAGAGGTAACAGGATCCTTCAGTGGGTTTCCATGACTGTCATGGATAAACAAAGAGAACCAGAGAAGTGAGTCAGATGATGTGGCTGAATGCACAAAGGTAATATGAACAGTATCAAGTCCTGGTGCCACACCCTCATGGCTAATTTAGCTGGATTATAAATTCAATCAGTAGGTCACTGGGTTCAGGTGCCACACAGGACATTTCATTTTTGTCCTTGGCTTCTTGGATCAGTTGAACAAGACACCAGGCTAATGAGGTGATTACAGGTTTTGATTGCCAAGTAGGAGAACAGAATCAAAGACAGTTTTGGGGCTTGAAAGGGAAATTAGTGAAAATATGATTCCTATTTTTTTTTTTTTTT